GCTGAGGAGAAGAAACCGATCCTTATAAGTACTCAAACAGAGAGCTGTTCTTTGTGAGACGATGCATCTCTTCTGCATATTTAAAGTGTGTCGTCACCTAATAAAGACTTTATGAAGTCAAAACTCACTATCGTACAGTTTTGGCCAAAGTTTGTGTTTATACTTGTTGCTTCATTTCAATTAGATGTTGTTTACATGTTATGATATAGTGACAATGATCTGGACTTTATTAAAAGCTAAAGGCAATAAAATGTTGCAATCTGTTAAAATATATTAATAAGTCACCATATTATTATATATTACACATATAAACATGAAACAAAAAAAAGCGAGAGAGAGCAAGAGAGTACACTGATACTTTTAAGACCTCTGGAAATCCTGGCGAATATTGCTAAATCCTGCTTTAACGAGAAAGCTGCTTCTTAGGAGCCAAAATATAAAAAAGGGAATGACACATGACTTTTGTACATTAGTTTTATTTAGCATATGAGTTTTTTTCATTTTACAAATTACAGGTTGTATGATATAAGCCCCAGATCCATCTGTCTATTTTCTATTATGACATGTATCAGACTGTGTCAGAGATTTTGTCTGTAATGTATTGGAACTATAGCCAGCCTGACTTGGCACCTCTGGAGCTTTGATGACCTGCACACCTCAAATCTGGCTGTGTCGAGTCCATCAAGAGAATAGTTAATTGGCAGAGTTCTGCTGTATTGAAGTTTGCTTTTGTAGGTCATTAATATGAAATTAGATAAACACTGAAAGGCATGTCTTTACTGATAATACACCATTAGCATCATATTTATTGTCCCGGAGAGCCTGGAGACTATCCCAGCTGTCTTAGGGTGAGAAGCAGGGTACACCCTGGACAGGTTGCCAGTCTGTCACAGGGCATGAATCTGTTCACTAACAGGACAGCTACAAACTGGCACAACCTGTTTGTAGCTGTGCAAAAGAAGCTCAGCTGAGAGCTGCCTGCTGAGTTGACAAAGAGTGAATAGTGATGAAGCTTTGTTTTGTCTGTATGTCATTCAATTAGCAGTCTCTATTATACCCTCACTGGCTTGCTGAGTGGAAAAGATGTTTAAATGCATGCCACCAGATGGTACTGTTCCTCCTGTAGTGCTCCTGTGAGGGCATGGATGCTGGGAAACTGTGCAGAGACAGTCCTTAACATTATTCTACTTTTTAAAGTACTGAAATATGGATATTTATTAAGTCTCAAAAGCTCTTTTTTTTTTATATGGATGATGAATGATTTCCTCTTAGTCACACATGAATTAGCTTTCTTTTTGAACGCTTGAATGATGCATTTCAGTCACAGTGATGCCCTCTGCACACAAACAAATGCATCTTTACAAAAACACAGTCAGACAGGCTGAAACCACAAAAGTACAAGTTCTGCTTTGGGTAAAAATATGCCAATATTACCTTTACATGATGACAATTGTGGTTTTTTTTACTTTTTTGTTCGTAAGTTAGGAGACTTCTTGTGATGGCTGACAGGATTGGGATGAAGTGTGAACATTTACCTAGAATTCTTTAAAAAAGTTAAAGAATTCATTAAAAATACTAGATTTAAGAAATAATGAGGTTATTCCTGATATTATAGAAAATAAATCTCTTTTTATCCCCCAGTAATGGAACATTTAGGATCAGTAATCTGAGCAAGAATGACAGTGGTAAATATTAATGTAAAATCTTTTATTCAGTTAGAAAATCATCAGTCAAGTTTAACATTTAAATTAAACACTTTTTGAAAAAAAAAAAAATATATATATATATATGATATATCTCACACAATACCAGATATGTGTATTTTGCACTTTTTCATTAACGACTACAAAGAAATCAGATCAAAAGACATCTGGGTGTGTTTCTCTCAGCACAGGGTACAGGATGATTGTACTGTGGGAACACCAAGCGGCAGAATAGTCATTCACAAGTGGGACACAAATATTTTGGTGATAAAATAAACGGGTGGCTGTAGCAGAGGTGGTAGAGCAGGTCATCCACTGATCGGAAGGTTGGTGGTTCGATTCCTGGCTTCCCCTATCTACATGCCAAATATCCTTGGGCAAGATACTAACCCCAAATTGCTCTCAGATGCATCCATCGAAGTATGTGAATGTTAGCTATGAAGCACTTTGTGTGAATGGGTGAATGCACAAGTTGTGTAAAGCGCTTTGAGTGCTCAGATGAGTAGAAAAGCGCTATATAAGAACCAGTCCATTTACCAAAACAAATATAAGCTCCAATAGATGTACTGATGTTCTGTTGTGATAGAGAAGTGCAGTGAAAGTAAAGAAGATCCATAAATCAATATGAGCTTTGATGGTTTGTATTTTTCTGAATCACCTGAAGCATCTTGACATCACCGTCTCACTCTGTTGTGCAGTATGTATAAAAGCAATGATCACTCAAATCATCTGATTTTTGAACATTGGCATACAAACAGTCATCTTCTGTAGGTTCAGTGTACAGAGGTCGCTTTGAAAACTTGACTTGGCCATACTCCACCTCCGATTTTTGCTCCATTTCCTTCTCCCGGTGTTTCATCACCCTGACATCAGCGTAGGTTACTTCCTCATCATCTTCTTCATCTATATTGTAGCAAGAAGGAGTAACACAAACATATTATTACAGTGACTGAGTAGTTTGACTTTTCACAAAACTTAGATCGTGAAGGACCTCAGCCATCCCAACAACAGACTGTTCTCTCTGTTGAGGTCAGGAAAGCGATTCCGCTCCCTGAAGACCAACACAGAGAGACTGAGGAGGAGCTTCTTCCCGCAGGCGATACGGTCTCTCAATCACACAGTACTGACCCACACATATAGTTCTTACACACACACACTGGACATTCTGGACATTGTTTTCACTTCATCACTTAAACCACTTTAAGCATATTTGCACTGCACAAGACATAATGTGGATTGCACAACACTGGTCACTATATTCTTCATTTCCAGTTAATACTTGTACAGCTGCTGTTATTGTGTATATATTTATATTTCTTCATACATTCTTATATAGTTCTATACTGTGTATTGTGTTGTACAGTTATTTTATTTTCAACTTTAATTTATATATTTTATCTTATTCTTTCCCAGTTAAATTTACCCTTCATTCTAATTTGTGTTGTACAGTTATTTCATTTTTAACCTTAATTTATATTTTATTCCTTCCTAGTTAAATTTACCCTTTTTAATTTTTCATATTTATTTCCTATCTTATTCATAGCCTTTTTTTTTTCTTTAGGTCACGAGCAGTTGTCTAAGCATTTCACTACATATCGTACTGTGTATGACTGTGTATGTGACAAATAAAATTTGAATTTGAATTTTATTTTTTATAAGATTTAAACAAAAGTGCTCAGTCCTGTTTCCTCACATTTCTCGTTACTGTATTAAAGCCAGCTGATAAATGATGCACTCAAATTTTACTGACATATGCCAGAATTAAAAACTCTTGGGAGCAAATCAAAAATGTAGAGGTAGAGGCTGGTGAGAAACAATATTTGTGTGTATTTCTGTAAATAAAATCAAAAGGATATTAAACCTTCTCGAATCTTAGAAAAAATGTAAGAAGGCAGTCTGAGCTACATGAGTAAGAACAGGAATTTTCTTACCTTTTTGTTTTGTAGGTTTGTTGTTTTGCTTTTTTCTCTGAGCCCAGATGACTGCTACACCCACAACTAATAAAATTAGGAACGCTAAGAGAACAGCACTGATCAGTGACAAAATACCTGTTTTAACAGGACACAAAACCAAACCATTCAGAAAACACCTTTTTTAAATAAGAAAGAACAAATTCGAAAAGAATATTAACAGATCTACTGTAGTAGAATTAATTGTCACTTACTAATGTACCACAGCTGAGCACTGCTGAAAGCTGGACTGAGGATATCATTCGGGTTTTCAATTGGCACTCTGTCAGTCCCTTCAGTCACAGCAGTTTGCGTGATCATTTTAGGGTCTCGTGTTAGTTGTGTTGTTGGTTTAATACACAGGGTTTTATTGGCTTCATGCACCCACCCTGATATCTGTGTCCCATTGACAGAAGTGCAGTTAATGAAAATGAAGCCTGAGAGCAAAAACAGATTGTGTATGTAAGACAAAGTGACCAAATGATCATATTTGTGATTATCACAATGTTCTCTCACCACAGGTAGATATTCTCTCCTCTTTGGAGACATTACTGATGTAATTCCTGACTGAGCAGACCAGACGTCCTGAGACGTGCTGTTTCAGAGTGATGATGTTACTCTCATTATTTACAGAAAGGAGCTCAGCATCTGTCAGTGTGCGTCCATCCAGAGTCCAGCTGTACTTAGGACTGTCCCCTCCCTTAGAGGAGCAGGACACCCTCCTCTCTCCCTGGGACAGACACTCAGAGACCAGCAGGACAGAGGACACAGGAGCTGAGAGAAACACACAGATGAATTTTGGTAGTATAACAGGATCCTGGTCATTTCTTGTTATTTTAAATGAAGAACATATATGCTGCTATTAGATGTATATCTATTCTTAATCTCCGAACAGGGAAAATAATTACCTTGAATAAACAACTGTAAAGTCCACTCGCCTGTTGATCTTGCAGCTGCATCAAAGGTTTGAAGGGTATAAATACCACTGTCATTGCTGCTCAAGTTGTTGATCCTAAATGTTCCATTAACGTGGAAAATGAGAGATCTGTGTCCTATGGTATTAGACAGAACTTGTTTGTCTGACACATATAGTAGTACTAATGAATTCTTTAAATATTTGTATTTATGTATTTCTGAGGTGCCGTTCATCAGCTGTATGTCTATACTTCCTCCCAAAACTCCAAAACACTGAGCTCTATCCTGTCTGCCATCACAGTGAGTTTCCACACCTGCAAAAAAGAAAAAAAAATTAAAGTCAAGAAAATAAAAAAAATAATATCACAGTTTTGAGAGCTCAGTCTCTGTTAGAAGGTAAACATTTGCATCTGCAGCATGCAAGTGTTAACCTAAATCAAAAATAGCACTTTTGTGGCTACTGTGTGTCTGTCTCAGTTCACAGTATGCAAATCATTTAGTATTTGCAGATGCATTATACAGGTTTGTCACTGAAAGACAGTGACGTTTCAGCTGATTTGTTTTTTGTAGAACAGCTGCTGTAGCTTCAGTATTCTGTTGTCAATGTTTTAAATGCTGCAATTCATCTGTGCCTTTTTACAACAAAAGAAAAGAAACGAAAAAGAAAAAAAAAGCTCAGTAATTATAAAATTGTTTATAAAAGAAGTTGTTACCTTCGTTTGTGAAGAAGACCCTAATAATTTTAAAATGATTCAAAATACCTAATATTAAAATGTGTATTTTTGCCAGCATAGTGCTATGTCCAATCTACTTCTTGATATGCATATTTATATTTAAATAATATTTAATCAGTTTGTCTGCATTTACTTTACTTAAATAATATTGCAACTGTTAATGTGTTTAACAAGCCCTCAACTGAAAAAAAAAATACATGTTTCATTAGCTGTAGTGGATCCCGTAGCCACAAAACATAAATAAAATATAGAAGTTAACATTGAGGCACCACATGGAAAAAGTTTAGTAGCTCACCATGAGAGACTCCGAGCAACATCAAGAACAGTTTAAATACAACTTCCATGTTCTGCATTTTTATCTCTTTGTCTCTTAAGCGTGAACAGGTCTCAATATATCCTGTTAGTGATCAGCCTCAGAGGAGAACGTGTGAAACTGTTGAGGTGAGGTTTTATTGAAGTTAAAATTATCTTTTCACATGCTGAGAGGAAGAAAGAAAGAGGTATCAGTTTTTCTTCCTCTTTTAGCCTTCAAGAAAAAAGATAATCCAGATGTGATGGACTGAGAGGGAGAGGGAACAATTTGTCATTCACGCTAAACAAGGTTTGATTAAGACAAAAAGTAGTCAAGTGTTAACAGAAAAATAAATATTTACAGAAATAAATTTACATGAGAGAATAATCATAAGCTACATACAGTTAAACCAAACTGGGCTTGAGTGTTTACTATTCGATTTTAACCTAAACGTCAAAGTAATATTACCATGTCAAAACTATTTCTTTAACTATTGGCAGCCCCTAGTGGTAAAGAAGTTTCTTGTTGTTACAGCATTAACTTTCACTGGATATAAGGGGCTGAGCTGAACTCCTAACAAACAACCAAACACCACAATTCCACCTCTGCCAAACGTTACACTTGGCACATTGCAGTCAGACAGGTAGAGTTCTCCAAACACATACTAATCCATCGGATTGCCGGATGAAGAAGGGCGGTTCGTTACTCCAGAGAACATGTCTAATGCTCTAGAATATAGTGGCACCATGCTTTAAACCACTTCATCCGACTGCTTTCATCGTGTTTGGTGATGTAAGGCTTGGATGCACCTGCTCAATCATGGAAACCCATTTTATGAAGCTCTCTATGCTATTGGAAGGTCACACAAAGTTTGGAGGTCTATATCAGAAAGTTGGTGACCTGTGCACACTGTGCACCTGATGAACCTGTGCTGTGATTTCACATAAAATACCATTTCGTGGCCGAGTTGCTGTCATTCCCAATCACCTGGACTTTTTTTAAAATCACCTGACTGTAGAATATTTACTAGTGAGAAAATTTTATGACTGGACTTGAAAATTGGCATACTATTACGATACCACGCTGAAATTTACTGAGCTCCTAACAGTGACCCATCCTTTCACAAATTTTTATACAAGCAGTCTGTATACCTAGGTGCTTGATTTCATACACCTGTGGCCATGGAAGTGATTGTATCTTCTGGATTCAATGATTTTAGTGGGTGAGTGATATATATCAATAGCAATATATCCTTCAAGCTTAGGCCTCTACCAGAAACCTGGGAGTTTTGAGCATCCTGTGAAGTATCTTTGCTGTTCCTACAACTGTGCTCATTTGGTAATCTCAGATGACTAATCCAGGAATGACATTGTGATCCCCTAACTGGCTGTCACCTTCCGCATCTTCCACCTTCCCCATTATCTTCACCTTCTACATCGTCTCTAGCCCTTGGTATTAATTTAGCTTCTTGTGTTCCAATCCTTCTGATCTTTCTATAGCTTGGTTTTGCTACATCTATCACTACGGCCGCCTTCTTCTTACAGGATGCCCAACACTACAGTGTCTGATTGGTTAGCCATCACCAGTTTGTCTGTCTGTAAGGACATCACACGGGATCTTAGCTTGGTCATTCTCAACAACTTATAGCGGCATATACCATTTTGACCTCCAGGCCACACTCAGGATAGATATTTCAGTACCCTGTGCCAGGCACTATGTTATGGCGTATCTCCAACCTTGGTGAGCCTGTTCTAATAAAGAGTCTCATTTATTAGTATCTCTGTGGAAACATTCTTACTGTACTCGAAAAATGACAACTTCACAGTAGTCAGATACCTTCAACATGTATCATCATCATCACCGTATCATCACAGTGTCCATTCATACATCATTTAAATCTTAAAATGCTTTTTGAGATGTTTTGTTTGTGAAACTGATGGTTTTAATGTTAATATATATCAATGTCATTTTCAGTATTCACAAAAAGGCACTACATGTGTACAGGTTGTAATAAAATAAGTTTATACAGTGCTGTTGATTCACACTTTTCTGAACTCATGCTTTTTCCTCACACTTTACTTAATACATTAGAAATAGATGGAGGTGTGAAATGCATGTGTACACATTTAATATGGAAATGCTTTTCAGTATTTTAGTATTCAAGATTATTTTTAATCAATAAAGGATCATTTAAAACTTTTATTGCGTGCACTTTGTCTTATTTCTGCAAAGCATGTTATAAATCATTTAAAATAAAGTTTTAGTGAAAAAACCTGAAACAAACTCACCATGAGAAACTCTGACCAGCAGCACCAGCAGTCCAACCACAGCTTTCATGACTCCTCTCTGTTACGTGTCTGTCACCCAGTCAGCAACAGCCTGCAATACATCTTGTTAAAAATCAGCAACACAGAACAATGTGTGAAAACGTTAACCAATAAGAACATTGCTATAGTCATATTAACTGAGGAGCTGTCATTTTACTTCTGCTTTCAACATTCAACAACTGGACATTTCTGAGCTAAAGAAAGGGGAAACATACAGTGGGGCAAAAAAGTATTTAGTCAGCCACCGATTGTGCAAGTTCCCCCACCTAAAATGATGACAGAGGTCAGTAATTTGCACCAGAGGTACACTTCAACTGTGAGAGACAGAATGTGGAAAAAAAATCCATGAATCCACATGGTAGGATTTGTAAAGAATTTATTCGTAAATCAGGGTGGAAAATAAGTATTTGGTCAATAACAAAAATACAACTCAGTACTTTGTAACATAACCTTTGTTGGCAATAACAGAGGTCAAACGTTTACTATAGGTCTTTAGCAGGTTTGCACACACAGTAGCTGGTATTTTGGCCCATTCCTCCATGCAGATCTTCTCGAGAGCAGTGATGTTTTGGGGCTGTCGCCGAGCAACACGGACTTTCAACTCCCGCCACAGATTTTCTATGGGGTTGAGGTCTGGAGACTGGCTAGGCCACTCCAGGACTTTCAAATGCTTCTTACGGAGCCACTCCTTTGTTGCCCGGGCGGTGTGTTTTGGATCATTGTCATGTTGGAAGACCCAGCCTCGTTTCATCTTCAAAGTTCTCACTGATGGAAGGAGGTTTTGGCTCAAAATCTCACGATACATGGCCCCATTCATTCTGTCCTTAACACGGATCAGTCGTCCTGTCCCCTTGGCAGAAAAACAGCCCCATAGCATGATGTTTCCACCCCCATGCTTCACAGTAGGTATGGTGTTCTTGGGATGCAACTCAGTATTCTTCTCCCTCCAAACACGACGAGTTGAGTTTATACCAAAAAGTTCTACTTTGGTTTCATCTGACCACATGACATTCTCCCAATCCTCTGCTGTATCATCCATGTGCTCTCTGGCAAACTTCAGACGGGCCTGGACATGCACTGGCTTCAGCAGCGGAACACGTCTGGCACTGCGGGATTTGATTCCCTGCCGTTTTAGTGTGTTACTGATGGTGACCTTTGTTACTTTGGTCCCAGCTCTCTGCAGGTCATTCACCAGGTCTCCCCGTGTGGTTCTGGGATCTTTGCTCACCGTTCTCATGATCATTTTGACCCCACGGGATGAGATCTTGCGTGGAGCCCCAGATCGAGGGAGATTATCAGTGGTCTTGTATGTCTTCCATTTTCTGATGATTGCTCACACAGTTGGTTTTTTCACACCAAGCTGCTTGCCTATTGTAGATTCACTCTTCCCAGTCTGGTGCAGGTCTACAATACTTTTCCTGGTGTCCTTCGAAAGCTCTTTGGTCTTGGCCATGGCGGAGTTTGGAGTCTGACTGTTTGAGGCTGTGGACAGGTGTCTTTTATACAGATGATGAGTTCAAACAGGTGCCATTCATACAGGTAACGAGTGGGGGACAGAAAAGCTTCTTACAGAAGACGTTACAGGTCTGTGAGAGCCAGAGATTTTCCTTGTTTGAGGTGACCAAATACTTATTTTCCACCCTAATTTACGAATAAATTCTTTACAAATCCTACCATGTGAATTCATGGATTTTTTTTTCACATTCTGTCTCTCACAGTTGAAGTGTACCTCTGGTGCAAATTACTGACCTCTGTCATCATTTTAAGTGGGGGAACTTGCACAATCGGTGGCTGACTAAATACTTTTTTGCCCCACTGTATCTTAAGTACTGAAACAGAGAGCTGATCTTTGTAAGACAAAATTGTATAACCACAGCCACATCTGTTCTGCATATGTTTGAAGCGTGCCGTCACCTTAATTTAATCATAAAATCGTTACAGTTGTTTCCAAAAGTTTTGTCAGTGGCACACATTTTGTGTTTCTTGCTTGTTACTCAGTCTTTAATTAGATTGCTGGTCACATATTTATGTACATGTCACCATGATCTTCCCCTCTTGCCCCTGTGGGTGGTCTATCCTTCAAGCTTGCGTCCTCTACCAGAGGCCTGAGAGCTTGAGGGTCCTGCACAGTGTCTTAGCTGTTCCCAGGACTGCGCTCTTCTGAACAGAACTGTTGTTCCTGGGATCTGCTGGAGCCACTCGCCTAGCTTGTGGGTTATTGCACCGAGTTCTCCGATTATCACTGGGTCCACTGTTACCTTCAACCCTCCACATCTTCTTGAGCTCTTGTCTGAGCCCTTGGTACTTCTTCAGCTTCTTGTGTTCCTTCTTCCTGATGTTGCTGTCATTCAGTATCACTTTGTCTTTCACTACAGTCGTCTTTGTCTGCTTGTCTACCACCACTATGTCTGATTGATTAGCCATCACCAATTTGTCCATCTGTACAAGTCCCACAGGGTCTTAGCTCAGCCATTCTCCACCACTCTCGCTGGTGTCTTTCATTTTGACCTCAGGACTTCCAGGCCATACTCGGCACAGATGTTTCTGTATACTATGCCGGCCACGTGGTTATGGTGTTCCATGTATGCCTGCTTGCATCTTGGACAGGAACATCTCTAAAAAGCCTGCACCTGGGGTCTTGCATGGTGTGATAGACCCCAGCCTCTATGGATCTTAGAGCTTGTTCCTGAGCTGCCATGATTAGTGCCTCTGTTCTGTCTTTCACTCCAGCTTTGTCTAGCCACTGGTACGATTTCTGTATGTCAGCCACTTCCTCTGTCTGCTGATGGTACATACCGGGCAGGGGCACTGTCCTTCCATGATGGTTCCTCCTCTTTCTTGGGTTTCTGCTACCTGAGGTATTTGCTGAACATTGTGGATGTTTGTTGTCTCACCCTGGACAACAGTTGCCTCTAGGTGTTTTCTATTGTGAGGAAAAGACCCAAGAAAATTACAAATAAAACAGCCAAAACTCTAACAATCATGTGACCCTCTATGAGCAAGCACTTTGGAGACAGTGGGAAGGGAAAACTCCCTTTAAACAGGAAGAAACCTCCAGCAGAAGTAGGCTGAGGGAGGGGTAGCCATATGTTATGACAGGCTGGAGTTAGGGGAGGAAACCAGAACAAATAACATACTCTGGAAGAGAGTCAGAGATAAATAAACTGACTTCATCCAGAGAGATGTAAAAACACATAGTGGAAAAAAAAAAAAGAGAGCCAGAGATTAATAACAAGTTTTCTGGCTGTATTTGGTTATCAATACAATGGTAACTCAAAGTCTAGAAAACCGAAGATTTGTGTTTTTAAGTGGCTCTTAGCTAATTCCAAGTGCAAATAAATTAACAATATGTTTAACACCTTCCCCAGAATGACTAATGAGCAGTTTGACAGTGCTCAAATACAAATTAGTATAAACAGCTATCACTGATGTGATGATTATTTTAATCTAAATCAAAATCAGAATATTGGTCACTCTGTCATTTTCAATGAAGAACAGAGACAGCATGACATATTCAATGTTCAAGATCCAAGACATTTTTTGTCACCACAAAACACAAATGGTTACGCTGAGCATGAAATTCTTACTTTGCAAGTTCCCTTCATGCAACTGAATAAACAACTAATTAACCCCCCCCCCCCGAAAAAAAAACCCCCACTCTAACTCTAAGCATAGAAAATAATGAATAAGTGTAAGTAGTTATGCAACACTGTCACAGTGTTAAGATATTCAGAATGTACAAATATTAAAATTGTTTATTTTGTATGAAGTTGTATTATATTTTATATAAATGTTCAAAATTGCAAATTTACAGGTCAGGTTATTGAGGCAGATAATCACAGTTCAATAATTAGTTAGTGAACAACAATTAGTCATGATTCAGTAACCTGCGGATAGAAACTGTTTTTTAGTCTGGTTGTCCTCTCTTTCAAACTCCTGTAGCGTCTGTGTAAACAGCGTGTGCTGTGGGTGGGTGCAGTCCCCAATGACATTGTCTGCCCTTTTTTCTGACCTGGGTGTTGTAAATGTTCTTGTAGTGATGGGAGGGGTACTCCACAGATGAATTGTGCCATTTTATTGACACACTGGTGAGCATTCCTGTCCTTAATGGTGCTATTCCTGTACCACACTATGATGGAGGTTGTGACTCATTGTTGAGCCTTCTTGATAATCTCCCGTGTGTTATGGGTCCAGTTGAGATCCTCACTGATGTGGGTGCATTGAAATTTGAAGGTGTTCCCCCTCTCCACCTGAGTCTCGTTGATGTATAGTGGGGCATTCTGGTCACTCCTCATTCTCGGGTCAACAATCTCTCCTTAGTCTTCTCAGCATTTAAGGAGAGATTGTTTTCCAGCCACCAGGACACACGTGTTGGCAGCCTCCTCTCCACCAGTGATCATCCCGAAGATGGTTGTGTTGTCAGTGAACTTAATGATGGAAGTGTTGCACAGGAAGGGAATGGAATAGGTGAAGAGGGTGTACAGGAGTGGACTGAGCACACAACCCTGGGGGATCCCTGTGCTTACTGTCTTTGTACCTGATGTCCTGGTACCAACTCTAACTGCCTGAGGTCTGCCTGTGAGGAAGTCCAGGACGGTGTCAGTCCAAGAGTGAAGAAGTTTCCTTTATTACAATTGAAGTGATTGCGATGGGGCGATAGCCATTCGAACAGGTTAGGTTGTTCTTCTTGGGGAAGGGAACTATGGTGGTGAACTTGAAGCATGTGGGCACAGCTGACATTAAAAATGTCTGTAAACACCTCAGTCAGCTCTGAAGAGCAGACCCACAAAGCAGGGCCGGGGATGTTGTCAGGGCCAGCTGCTTTCTGGGGGTTAGCCCTCATCAGAACCTTGCATACTTCAGTCAAAGTCACAGTTAGTGAGGAGTAGTGATGTTTTGGTTACATATATATATATATATATATATATATATATATATATATATATATATATATATATATATATATATATATACATATGAGTGTTTGTGTATAAATACACAAACAAAAGA